TCATCTTGATTTGAAACTAAAATTATAAACATACATATTGTTTTATCATTCATCAAAGTGATATGATTTCATATAGTTAGTTAAATATAAAATTATTAAAATTAAAATGTGTAAGAGGAAATATATTTTAATATTCTAAAAACAAGTAAATCTCTGTCACCCTTAAATTTACAAAAATTTGTGTAAACCTACATGTGATAAAAAAAAGAAAGAAATAAGAAAGATTTTATCAATAAAAGAAAGGAAGATAAAATAAAGATATGTATATATTTAATAAAGATATTGATACATACCGAGCAAAGTACGTTGCCGTTCTTTTAGCTTGCATTTGCAGTTTCTTGGCCTTTCCACTGAACGGGGTTTTTCGCCTTCCCTGAGGCATGTTTTCACAATTTTAACTTCTTTACTTTTCCTAAAGTACTCAACTCACAATCGAACACTAACAATAAATGTCATCAAATATAATCGAATGTGATTTATTTATCAACTTGTTAGATTTAATTTTATAATTAAACCACTTTATATTAATACTAATATACTAGAAAGTATATTAGTCACGGTATAGCGATTCGTCAAACGACAAAAATCTGAGTAAATCTATCAGCTAATCGATCTAGATTATCTGATAGCGAGATATGAAAGTAACCACATGTAAAGAATTATATAGAGAAATTATAAGGAAAAATCGACTAATCATGAGTTCGATGTATTATTCATGGAACTCTTTGATTGGTCAATCTAGCAAAAAACCCTATGAATTGCTCGCTATGATTGGTTACGAGATGGTAAAACCATGAATATAAAAGTTTCTAGTTGAGTCGTATGCAAATCAACCAATCAAACATTTTTATTTACGTTTCGAAAGTGTTGTTTTTCTCTCTCCTTTTATCCCTTTTTCTCTTTTCCTATCGTGAACGCAAACACATATTTTTTAATCGTCAGAGGTTTACTGACGAGAGATTGAAAACGAGAGATTTAACTGAAGCAGACGGAAGTTGACTTGTTTCGTGACATTAGTTGCTGTTTGCTAAAATCAATAAACATAAACCGTCGCCTTTCTGTGCTTTGTCATTGCTGAATAGCAGTAAAGTCACGTTGTGTATTTTATTCCAAGAAAGAGTTGTATTTATCTTTCTATCGTCAAATGTATTCCGAAAAAAACTTGGTCGAGATGCAGTGGGATAGCGTTGTAGATTACTTGTATCATATTGTAAAACCGAATCAACTCGAAAATGATATAAAAAATATGAAATGCGAAAGTGAGCTAATGTCTTGTTTATTGACTAATAAGGACGTTACGTGAGTATAGATATAAATTTCTTATAAATATTACAAATATTTTCATGTTGAATAGAGCTAAGCTCTATATTTTATGCGTCCTAATTAATTGCTTCAATTAACCTTTAGAGAACGGGACTGGTCCTTTTAGGGACCACCTATTTGATCGGAGTTTTGTCTAAATTATACATTCGATTTATATATGAATTACACGTTTTAAAAGAGGTCGATTTGCAATGAAAATTTCCCATTCTCTAAAGGTTAACTATTTAGTATACTTGTGTTTGTCTATTATAATATAAATTAAATTGGGCTTCCTGATCATCTATCAGCTTTTGCATTATCTATTCTAATTAGTAATTATATACTTGTATATAAAATTATATTGCAGAAAATTTATATCTTTATGGCTAAGTAATCTTTACAATGAAGGAAAGATAAGAAAGGAAAGAAAGAACCTGAGTATATCAAAATCGCATAACGACAAAGGACGCGAAGCATATAAAAAAAAAGAATATAATGCTGCTATAAAATTCTTTACAAAGAGTGCGATATATGCTTCATCAGATGATGTAGAGCTGTCATTAGCAATTGCAAATCGATCAGCAACTTTGTTTTATTTGGAAAGATGGCAAGTAAGTAATAGAATTGAACTATATTCAAAGATTATAATATGTATTTTTGCTGCACTTTTATTTATTTATTTAATTTATAATTTATTTTATTTATAATAACTGTGTGTGCATGCTCAAAAGTAATAAGATTATATTTGTAAATGTAATTTATTAATCTTGTGCAAAGGATTGCATCAAAGATATCGAACTGGTGTTAGACAAGTTAGACAAGTATCCGAAGCAGTTACATGGCAAACTATATCTACGTTTAATTGAGTGTTACTTGAAACTGAATAAAAAATACAAGCTGCTCCAATTATTTCTAAACTTAACAATTCAAGTGCTCAATATGATATGACACCTAAACAGACAGGCAAGTATTCACTTTATGTACTTGTATATATCTAAAATTAGGAAGAAAATTCTAAATACTTATTACAGACATCTTTCATATTTCTGATATAATTAATAATTAATGAAACTTTTATAGCGCGATTACAGAAATTGAATAAACTAAATCTGCAAGTCCTAAAAACAACTGAGGAGATGAATGATGTAAACGATACAAGTAACAATGTTGAATCTCCTTTGCAACCTATACTTAAATGCCTAAAAATGGATAATGAAAATCCTAATTTTCCATCTGCATCAGCTAGTATAGAAGTAAAATATACTCCAGAGAAAGGAAGATATGTTGTAGCTAACAGAAATATCAAAAAGGGTGAAACTCTTTTCATTGAAAACGCATTTACCTTTGTCACAATAAATAACAAAAATTATAATACTCTTTGTCACAATTGTTGCAAGAACTACAATGATATTCCTATACCGTGAGTTCTATTATTTTTTACTATATGAAGATTAACAATTCTTACAAATGTAGATATAGATACTTCATATTATGTATAATATATAATACTACATATTACACAGATGTACGGAGTGTGTGGACACTTTATTTTGTAATATGAATTGTTGGAATAAAGCACACCTGTCTCACCATCGTTGGATATGTCCTGCCAGTCAAATGGGTCTTTTGCGGCAGATTGGAATAACACACTTGGCTCTAAAATTATTATGTGTGTGCCGCACTACGACCAATGAGAGACGATTTAATGACGTACAGCAATTAGTGACCAATTTTAATAAACTCGCACCAACTGACGTTATTTCGTATGGAATTGTGAGTAATATAATTTTTACAAAAAGAAAATACCTGATACACATATATTTATATAATATAGACAATTTTATATGAATCAATTATATGAATCAAGATTTACTTTGTCTTTCCTTTTTCAGACAGCAACTATGCTTACATTATATCTATCAAAATATACAGATTTTTTAATGATTTCAATCTTGAAGAATGCTTAGTATCAAAGTTTTCTAACAATAATTTTAATATTAAATGTAAACTTGCAACAGAAGATGATAAACAATTGTATGTAAGTTCTTTATTGTTGAGGCATATATTGCAGCTTATTTGTAATGGACATGCTATTACAAAGATTATAAAGACAGATATGAAATCAAATAATACTGAAAATTTATTTCTTTACGAAGAACAAATTAGAATAGCTACAGCAATTTATCCTTCTGCAAGTATGATGAATCATTCTTGTGATCCTAATATAATTAATAGGTAATATATAAATATTTTTGAAATTCAACAAGAAACAAGAATTATTTATTGTGTACATAAATATATAATAGGATTCTTTCTATTATTTTAATAACATAATGCTATTATTTTTTTAGCTTTTTAGATCAGACTTTAGTAGTTAAAGCTATAAAGAATATTGAAAAAGGTGAAGAAGTTTTTCATTGTTATGGTATGTGAAAAGTTCATAATTTTAATTATATTATATTAATATCAGATTTTTATATTATATTATTTGTTCTTATTTTGTATTATGTGTGCGAAACAGGGACTGAATTTAGAAGAATGTCGAAAGTGGATAGGCAAGAACATCTGGAAAGTCAATACTGTTTCACATGTAACTGTAAAGCATGCACGACGTCAGAGTATGAAAATTTTATGGTAAATTACGTTTTTGTATGTATATTCAAAACTTTATATCACATTGATATATAAAAATTGTTATTTTTTTAAAGAAAAAATTTACTGCAATGAAGTGCCCTGAATGCAGCGGACCATTATTATTATGCGACGATCATGACCCTCCAATGTTTTGCTCAGATTGCGGAGCAACAGTTTTTGAATTCATTTATATTTATAAAATAAGACAAGCACAACTGCAAGCTAATACTTATTTCAAAGGAGCAGAAAATTACATAATTAATGAACAGTGGCAGAAGGCAGCTGATGAATTAAAGCAATGCTTGTCTATTAGGAAAACAATATTATACAAACATCATGACGACATTATTACAACCTTCGATTTGATGGCACGGTTATGCATTCACATGAGTATGTATCAATAACTTAATTTTCTTTAAAACGAAAATAGGAAAAAGCGTTTTTGAAAAAGTAATATATATATATATATATAATTTTTTTGTCATTAGATCAACGATTGGCTGCAATTTATTATCTTGACTACACCATCGTGGCGATCGGAGAAAAATATGGTTCTTGTAGCATAGAATTATGCAACGAATTAAATAAAATAACGGATATATGCCTTACTTATTTAGAGAAGGAATCTAATACAACATCAAAATATTACAAGTATATTATATTTTTATTATTTATATTGTCGTAAGTGATAATTGCTTACGCGATTATAGTATACTCATTTAATATTTATTTGTGCACCTTGTTACAGAAACGTTTTGAAAAAGACACGTCGATATCTGAATAATGCTCAACAAATTCTAGATATTGTTTATGGACCATGGCATGAAATTTATACTGAAATTGGAATAAAACAGAAGATCCTTTCTAAAATTTTACAAAATTTCAATGTCTGATAAATATATAATATATGTGTAAACAACCTGTAATATGTAATAATGAGTAAATAAAAGAGAGAGAGAAAAAAAAGCATTCTTTACTTATCTTTTTATAAAGATTTGTAGCAAAAATGAGATGACCTTGATGATACATACACAAATTTTATATATATATATACTATTACATCAGCATTATTTTTTATCATACATGTATCATATTTTATTATATTTCTCATTTATCTTATTTCTTTAAACAATAATTTTGTAACATTAACAGTTTATTTAAATTTGAGAAAAAGAAGAAATCTCAAAATTATCGTATTCTAAATTTTTATTTTATGAAACTAGAGAGAACTAAGATTTAATTTTAAAAACTTTTTCAATGAATAAAACAATTTTTTTCATTTACAACGTATGATATGTTTCGACAAGTCTAAACTTTATCTGAATTTCAACGCTACCATACGAGATCGTATTCCTTCATTATGTTTTCGAATTTATTGCCATTAGAACGATAATCAGAACGATTGTTATTTCCTCGCAGTAGGTACGTGGCAATATGAACATGAAGAGTTGCTCAAGAAGATAGTTCGGGCTTCTAGATTGGATCGTTATCGTTTTAGCTCCCAATACCCTATGCTTCTCCCAATTTCGAAGTTTGGCAAGGAAGTAATTACCGTGCCCTTAATAGAATTCCCTGCATCGAAATCGATCAAATAGCATCGCGCGAATACCTTTGTCGTCGCCGTGAATTGGTCATTAACAGGTAACTTGTTACACTCTGCGCGTAATTATCGCGAATAATGCGTCAAGATATCGACTAAAGACAGTGACATTAATTCAAAGATTTATGCTCCTTCTATCACATAGAAATTGTCAGGAACTAATTCCTTGTACAATTATCTTCTCTTTTAATCGTTAACATAAAATTAAACGAATTTAATTTCTGTGAAATTAAATATTCTTAAAATCGAAAATATGTGCGAAGTAAACACATTTATATTTTTACAAATCCATATATAGTTTGTCTCAAAATAAAAGATAAAAGTTTGTTATTTATCGGTCGATATGCAAAAGTGAGTTGATGACATTGAATTGATAAGTATAAAATATCATCCTACCTTTATCGGACAATTGATAGAATTTTAATCGATTCAAGTCAAATCATTTATCAAAGCGAAATTGAAATATTATGCACGCAAAGACGCAATTAATTATTTGCGAGACACTGAAAACCGATGCACTAATGTGCGCTCAACGTATTAAAATACACTCTCTATACAAATCCAATTATTTTGCGACTTGTGATAATGCTGTAAAAGCATTGTCATGAGTCGTTTGGAGATACTTAACTTTCTCTTTATAATAAACATTCCAGATATTACTTCTAAAAGCCTTTCCCACTATAACGTAGGGATCAAGGTGTACTTTGTTGGAAGGATTATATTATATAATTTATTTTATAACTGAGAGATTTTTTTATACTTATATAGCAATATAACATAAATATCTGATATACAAGTTAAAATTAAAATAAATATTTGCAGATTGCAATATTCGAAAATATCAGATTTACCGATTGTTTACACGACAGATTTCAATTAAATAAACAGCAAATACGTTATATAGTGTAAAAAAAATCAACGTTAACGTAAAATAAATTAATTTATTGTCATCGCGAAATATTATGACGTAAAACAGAATAAATTCATGCAGAATATAATCTGCTTTTTCAATTTCAAATTGATTATATAGTTATTAAACAATTGATATGTTTTTATTTTTTGCGCGCACTTAGTTATATTTATTTCTTACGAAAAAGAAATAAACTTTAGGAAAGAAAATATTTTAATTTGGTTCTTTCTCTGGAAAATAGATATTTCGGATAGAGTTTCATATTCTAGAGACACCTATTTTTGTGATATTATTCTCGTTTATCTAAAAAAATGCAAAGAGAACGCGGCATTCGCTGTCGAATTATCATCCGTTATGTAAAAAAGCTTTTACTTGGATTGTTAAATATTAAAATTATTAATGGTTGTATCTATTCTACGCGACACTTGCTTTTGCGTTCGCGACACTGACTTTACGACGCGACCTTTTCGCGTTCGCTTTTATAAATATTACGAATATTTTCATCGAGAAGTGTTGCCACGCATTTTTAAGCTTATATTGCATTATATACTTGAGTTATACACATGTCTTAAAATTATCATAAAGATATTCTTTGACGTCTAATCGCATTGTGCGATTTTGTATACTTCATTTACATTTCCGTTCTACTATGGACTGCTCATATTTCATTAAAATCTCATGCATATTAAACATAATCAATAATATTTTTAAATATGTTGTATAAATATATATTATCATTAGCTGCCGCTATATTTTCGGAGCGTATGCATGATGCTAATTAAAACAATCCGCCATTCGGGAACTTTAATTTTACTGCGCAGTCAGATATATATACAGCTGTGCTCTCTTGAGTCTGTGGGCCGACTTCATTAAAAATACATCGAAGTGCATTCTCTCCACTGTGCCGAGCGGCTTCATTTGCAAATGGCCCCATGCGTCACCGTGTAAAATAAAACACGACATCCCCGGTTATATGCATTACACTCGCGAACGAATAAACCGATAACTCGACATCGGAACAGAGGAATTCTTCATTAGTATGCTGTTCCGGTGTGACAGAAATTCCTTACGCATCCGCGGACAATCCCGAGAGGCACGAAAAGTATATAGAATGTAATTTCCTCTTAGCTTTAATGCGCGCCAGAGTGGAAAAGATAATTGAATTTTTATGCTACAGACTATCGTTATTAATAAGAATTAAATAATACGATTTACAAAGAAACCTAAAATATCTATAGTAATACCGCATCGTAATACAGCATCTAATAGAATATATGCAAAATATAGTAAGAAATTTTTCAATATTTAGAAAAATTATATTAAATTTTAATAATAATTAAGATGATTGATAAATTTAACAATTTAATTTTATTATTAGAATTATGTTTTATGTATTCTTTAGGTTGTAAACCTGGCATCTGAATTTGAAGGATCATAAAGTCGGGTGCTGCGCGTTTCGCTTTAAGATCGATCTCGATCTATCTTCGCTTAAAGACTTATTCGAACTTATAACGTAATTTCCATGTAAAAGTACATCGATTTTTTTTAGTGAACAACCGATTTTAAGATATCTCAAATTCGAATGCGCAGTCTTCTTTAGAGTTCTTATATAGTTCATTAGTCAAGTAGAGCTTTTAGTTCATTCTAGTAATTTTCGTTTTATTTGTAGTTACGCAGTTTAGAAATTACAGTATAGTTTAAATAAAAAGAGAGTCAAAAGTGATATTCGTTAATTTTAAAGATTTTTTAAATCTGCTTTTCCATCGATGTAAGTTTCGATTGCGATTGCTACAAACAACTACAAAGGAGTCTTAATCATTTGGAAAAAGGAGATTTGAGAAATCTTTAATGTTTACTTTTGTTTTGTTTAAGCAATTATAATTTCAAAACCTTTCAACTAGAAACGAATAAAAAATCACTACAAACAACTACAAACATTTCTAAAAAGAGCATGCGTAAGCGAATTTAAAATGTCTTAGAATCGGATGTAAGTCATTTTTAAATTTTTAATTGACATAATTACAAACAAAATTATTGTTATTACGAACAACTATAAACAAAATACTGTCATTTTCCATATTAAAAATTAATTTTTTGAAAGTTGTTGCTACAATTACATAGCCTCTATTCTTCTGTATTTTTATAATATACAAATTATTAAATTTATTCTAATTTTAGTATTGTATTGTTAATAATAATAATAATTCAATTATTATTATGTCGGAATATAATTTGGAATTATTATAATATCGAATTATGACACGACATAATAATTCGATGAATTAATGCGGTATGTTGCTATTATAATTCGATAAATTAAAATTACATTACGACATAATAATAATTCTATAAATTATTATAACGCCTTATTCGATGAATTAAAGTTATGTTGTAATATAATAGATAATAATTCAAAATGAATTAAAATTATTATGTCGTGTAATAAGCTTATTGAAAATTACTTTCATGGAAAATATCTTAAAATAATATATATTAATTCAAACAATTTAAAAATCACAAATGAGTAACATGAGTTTGTATCTCTATTATTAATCCATTTGAAGATTACAAATGATATTATATCTCACCTTATTGAAGTCAAACAAATAATTATATAATTTAAAAGGTTGCCTAAAAATTATCCCATCTTTTTAACATCTCTTTTAAGCATTCGTACTATTTAAGAAATAGAAACACAGTTATTTTTCTTTACCGGTCAGTCAAATCTCGGAATGCCAAATAAAATCGCGTATTTTGTATAGTATATGCAGCGGGACATAATATTCAATCGAGACATGTTGTTTCTAAAAGACGAGCGAGATTTACATCCTTGTGATTCCCATCTTACCTCCGGGATATTCGGATAAACAGACTTGTGTGCGGAACTAGCGCGTCTCTCAGATACTTGGGACGCTCCTTGGAATCCAGTATATTTTGCGTTCGGATTTGCCTCGCTACCGTGTTTCCACGGAATGTACACACCACAAATGCCGACTATATCAAGAAATACTCGATGAGAAATTTACAGCCGGAAAATTCCCGTGTAACATATACATCCCAAACGACATATTGCATTTATATCATGTAAAAATGAAACGCACGTTTACCATCGTTGCACCAGCCGCGTACGATATTATTAAACTAACCGGAACAGCTGTGTTTCGACCTTTTACGAAATATATATCGTGCAGCATGTGTACGGTGTCTGCCTCCTGGGGGATGAAGAAATCGAAGATTGCTTCATATCGAGTTCACACGACGAAATATGTATACTGTACATGAGAGACACATTGTTTGGATTTCGATTTTATTCACTTTATCGCCATTTATAAAAGGAGATTTTGGATTTATTTTATATTTTAGCTATATATTCGGATTTTATATATATCAGATTGGCAGATTATT